TACACATCTAACTTCACTGGAAGAGTTCTAATACTGTACTGGGATCAGTATTGGAAAATTTCTGGTGAGGTTGATATCTAGTACCATATAAGTTCTTGTAACTTTTAAGTAATAAAAACATTTTTATAATGCCTAGACAGAAGCAAGAATTATGTTTTGAAAATCTAATTATAAATATTAGTCTTATTGAGCTTTGAGCCCTTGAAAACTAGAGGTGGAGTAACAGTAAAGGTTAACAATTCCAGCAATTTAGAATATGCGATATGCACTTTCTAACACAGCAGGATTTAAAATAATATATCTTAATTATAGAAACTTCTATTTTATCCAAACAACAATTTGGATATATTGTGTTTTAAAAGAGCCGCAAGAACGAAGATTTCATATCTCTCTCTCTCTCTCTAAGGTGAGAAGGAATTATTAATTAGTTGTATACAAAATATTCTGAATTTGAAACATTTTGAACTTGAAAGACTATTTCAAGTTTGAAATAATCCGAATTTTGAGCTATTCTAAACATTTAAAAAGTGTTCCAAAATTGAGAAGGTACCACTTTGAGCTCAAAGCAGAGTGCAAAACAAGCACATCTGAAATGGGCATTTCCAAAATGGCCAGAACAATCCATTTTGAACTTAAAACCACTGTTTCAAGCTAGCTTTATTTTGACTTTGAAACATTTTGCCCATTTCTATTATTTGAAAATAATTGGCAGATTTTGAGTGAATGTGTTTTACAGTATGGTACCTATTTATACTTACTTGGGACATTTAATCTTTCACTGCCATACTGTGCTCTGAATGGAAGGACTTTGTTAAATAAATATTGTCAGAAAAGAACTGAACAGATGGTTTGTCAAAGGGTCAAGTTGTGCCTGCAGTGCTGCTTCATCTGGGGATTCTGTGGCTTGTTTTCTTGCTGTAGTATCAAATTAACTCTTTGTAGTTAAAACTGTAGTTTTATTAAAAAGGCCAGTAACACAGTAGAATACAGGACTTTTTAGTTTTATATAACAGCAAACAAAGGTAAGTGTATTCTTCAGTTAGCATAGTCTGATTGGAACAGTGATAGTTATACTGAGTTTTTAATGTAGTGGTAGAATTCCTCTAATTTCTACAGAAGCAGTGTTTCATGCTGAGCTTGTTTTTGTGGTGTATGGTTGCATATGCCGAGACAGGTGTGTGGTGAACTGGGCTCCCTATCACCCACACTGGGGCCTCTGTGTCCTCCACTCAAAACCCTTCTACTGCAACCTTCCATACTCCTGGGGAGATTCAGAAGTAGAATTGCAAACTTCTTAGTTCTATTCGTAGTTTAGCCTAATGTTAAAGTCCTTCAAGAAAAGTGTGCTGATTCAGTAAAGTCGGTCAAATATTTTATTATATATATTAAAGTTAGGGAACTAACTGGAGTAAATGGTAATAGGAGGAAAAAAAAAAAAGAATTGGGCAACTCATTTGAAAAAGAGATTTCTTTTGGCAGACTAAGCTCCAATCAGATTCATACACAGATCTTGAATAGAAGGAAATAGTTAAATAAAGCAAAGGCAAATAAATTTCCAACAGCTTAGATTAGCCTGTAAAAGAAATCCATAATCCTTACTTGCATCTAGCTCTGCTATTCCTTACTGTATTTTTTGTGGTTCTCTAGTTCCAGGTTCTTTTGGGTTTGGAGCTTTGCTTACCGGGCTTCGTGCCAGCTGGAAGAAAGATGTTCTGCTCTTCACCATTAGGGAGAAGGCACAACAAAAGCAAAACAGAATTTTCTTTCCTCTTTAAAGGCCACCTGAGATGGGAATTTTCCTATTCCTGCTTGGTTCTTCAGTTTGATTTGATCTCAACCCACCATCTTGATCGATGGTTTATATTTGATTGATAGATCAGGTTTGATTTGATCTCAACCCACCATCTTGATCGATGGTTTATATTTGATTGATAGATCAGGTTTGATTTGATCTCAACCCACCATCTTGATCGATGGTTTATATTTGATTGATAGATCAGGTTTTTTTCCCCCTTTTAACTATTTCATGTCTGAACCTGCTGGGATGGAAAAGTTGAAATGTTCTGACCCTAGTGGAAGTAGCCAGACCTCAGCATGTTTTATATGTCTTTAATGAGCAAGTGAGAGCATTTTGGAAGCTGAACATTTTCTGATGTTTGTTTTAATTTTTAGAAAAGTACGGCATTATTTGCACAGAGGACTTGATCCATGAAATTTATACTGTGGGCAAAAACTTCAAAGCTGCAAACAATTTTCTCTGGCCATTCAAGCTGTCTTCTCCGAGGGGTGGAATGAAGAAGAAAACTACTCATTTCGTAGAAGGTGGTGATGCAGGAAACAGGGAGGACCAGATTAACAGGCTGATAAGGAGGATGAATTAATGGTATGATACAGTTAAAGTGATAATTGCATTTCGGACATTCAAATTTTGATCCCTTCATTTTTTTACTACCACTATTATGTTGTAAATTCTAAACTTTAAATGAATAATACCAGAAAAGGAGTTATACTTTCTTCTTAAGGTAATTTATATCTTGTCTTTCTGCTTAAAGGCAGTCAAAGAAGCTAACAGTATCAAACAGTTAATCTCAGTCCCTCTTTCTCTCAATCTCATAGGTGTGTAGAATATGCAAGTTGTACATATATCCTTTAGGAAAAAATGGGGCTGATGGGGAAGGAAGAATTAAATTTTATGGGGCAGAAGAGAAAATTATTAAACTTACATGTAGCATGCTAAATATATTCTAATTTTATTTTAAAAGAAATTTAGCTTTTGTGCTGGCTGTGGCCAATCCTTCATCCAGTCCCCATCTACTTTGTAAAACGTAGTCCTGAAGATACCACTCAAAGGTCCATTGTGGTCCTTGGTTCAGAAATAGGGAGATAAACATAGTACAGTACATTGGTGATTTTCAGAAATTTTAATACATTAATGGTATTCCATTTTCACTCAGTGAAATGTGATTTGTTGTCTGCTTAAGTGTTAATATCTCTTCTCTTTCAGGGGCTCAGAAGATGATGGCTGTACACACTGATAATAAAAAAGAGAACTATGAAAACTGCTTGCATTGTTATTCTTTTACTGATACACAAAGTACTTCTGAATATGTTCTGATTCCACTAAATGTGATTAGGAGTACAATAACTAGTTGAATGTTGTCATTAAATAACTTAGATTCATAACATTACTTCAGTGAGTACAATGTGTGCCTCTACAGTGCATAAGAACACAGCTGACTTTTGACTTCAGTTATCTAACAGTTGACACCTGTTCTGCCTGAATAAGAGTTTTAATTAAGTAGTGTGCCATTATGTTAAATAACTTGCTCACTGATGTCATACATTGCCTGTGTACTTTAAGTACACACACAAAGTTAGACATGCTTCTTTCAATAAACCAGTGGATAAGCTAGTAGAACTATAATTCTGTTACCTTGAAGGAAAGCATACATGATGTATGTTATTTGGATGGCTTAATTGCTGAATAAGGTATGGCCCATACAATACCATATATGACTTCTAACGGTACACCTTTTTGGTCAGGAAGCCCTTCATTTTTAACTAGCTCAGGGTATGGTATCTAGCTGTTTTCCTTTTTGGTGTCCAAATTTGTCTCTAAATTTAAATTTAGGTCTCTGATTAAGCTACTTGTTGATCACTGGGCTATTAAGTGAGTAAGATTAATATCAGGATTTTTTTCCTGATACATGGGCATGAGATAAGGAAAAAGATCCACGGTGGAGGAAGGGAAGGAGTGGTCTCTTCTGCATTAAATGTTTAAATACAGAACACTGCAAAACAAAGTTGACTGTGATTGAGATTTTTATATGGATTGTCTCAGTTTGCAGTCTGCTAGATAGTCATTATCATCTGGGCTGTTTATTGAGATATTTCAATATCCAGCTTTGGAAACAAAAACTGACATATTGGAACCAGATGTTCACAATTGAAGCCTGTTGTATAAATGATAGAAAAATGGCTATTATATTGATTGGTACACTGGCTATATTCTGGCAGCTGTGTGAATTAGTACAGATTTATGTGACAGTTACAGAACTGCCAAAGGAGGATTTGACCACACAGTTCAGAATACGTGACTGGATTACTGCTGGCATGTTGCGCATTCACAAATGTGCTAAGCTATAGTTACTTTAGAGTTGCTGACAAATCAGTTTAAACCCTAGCATTATCTATGAAGTAGTCAAAATGGCTATATTCATATATCTAATGTTTTAACCATAGTTTGTTGAATAAACTAAAACAGCTGGTTTCAAACAGCATGGTACACTAGAACCAAACCACATTGCAGATTGTGATACCTAAACCTACCCTTAGGCTGCTTTAGCAAACAAAATCATTGTGTAGTATATGAATCCAACCACCAACAGTGGCATTGTGGGGGAAAGGGGAATGCCTAGAACCTCAGAAAAATTCTCAGGACTGGGAGATCATTTGAAGTAGCTAATAACTACAGGAAATGGACAAAAATTTATTTCCTATCCTCCTGTATTAAGCACATCCTGGGTTTATGATTAGCATGAGTTTTTACATTATTGCAGGCAAGGCCAATCTATAGATATGAGTTATAATTTAATAAAATAATTTGCATACAGGTGAAAACCATAGCTTACTAACCACAGTGACTGGGTTTGCACAGTATTATGGCTAGGTCATTATTTTGCTAAGTCATCTTTGGCCATGCTTGCTGGGAGTTAGAAATCTTAAAATACTTTGAATATAGTGGGTTAGAGAAGGTTGCATGAATTTAGATGAGAGGCGTGACAGTTTTGAGATTTTTTTCTTTCCTGTTTTGAATAACAGTTCTTAAACTGAGCTTGCATTGATTTGGGCAATGACAATAATTATAACATATATTTATTAAATGTTAGATTTCCTTTTTATATCAATTGTGAAGTTCACTGATCAACATAGTATATGTGAAAGATTCAAGCAAAAAAACATTTAATTGCAAAAGAGCCTGCTCCTTGCATGATAGTGGTCTATGCCTCCTGTTTCTTGGTCTTCCTTATTTTTCTGCTTTTCTCTTGATGAATCGTTTCGCATTCCAAAGCAGCCAATTCAGCAAGCCTCTGAAGGAATTGAGGTGGGGCTCCCTTGACGGGATCAGTAAAATGGTAACCTAAGAAAGGAAAAAAGATTCTACTTGATCGCATACTGTTTTTATTTAATGATACATGTCTCAAAACCATGTGGAAAATCAAATATTTGGGTCACAATCAACTGGAGACTGCACTGACTATTGTCACCATCAGCACAGGAACATAATAGAGAAATGGTTTGCCACTGCTTTCTGGGATATGTTCTGGATTTTTAAGAGAAGCTTATAGCCCTGGGTTTTCATGATGGTTTCCCATTCAAGTGCTTAATCATATCCAACTCTTACTTAGCTTTTTGAAATCAGCAAAGGTTGATTAGCTCCTGGCACCTGTTGTTACACATGGTGGTAGCATATACAGTAAAACCTCCCAAATGCCCATTAAATATGAAAGTACTTTATGTCAGTATCATGTTTTTTGCAATGATATAATTTGCATAATTTGTAGTTGATGAAAAATTTGAATTTATGTTGGTCGTGATTTAGGTCAGGTGACATAATTTAACAATTATTTTCCCCAGCTGGTCTGTTAAATCAAGATTCACTGTATAAAATATTTATTTAATTTGATTTATTATACATAGTTAAATGTCCTGCAAGTATGATTTACTCAGTAAATCATGACTTAATGCAGTGTGTGAACACAATCTATGGTTTATTGTAGGGGTGGACAACCTTTGAGTCAGGTTGCAACTTAACCCTCACCTTTCTAGATGGACATTATGGTAGTCTGATGGTACCAGAAAGGGTGAGATGGACTTTTCCAGACCCTGGGTGTGTTTCTGTGCATGTGTTTGGAGCTGGTGGTAGAATGAGAAATGAAAATCTCTAGGAGGCAAAGGACCTTTATTCCCAACCCTTACACAGCCCCAGTCCCCTGAAAATGCCCCCAGATTGCTATTTTTCAAGTTGCTAGGGAGGGGCTGAATCCTCCCCCAGGAATTTAACAAAAATCTGGTGTCTATAAGAGTGGGAGTGGAAAGCTTGAAATTTCTCCCATTTCTAACTTTAGGGGGAAATTGTCAAAATTCAGCCATTTTTGTTACCAACTTCATGCAATAAAAATAAGACAAGTATGATAATACAGGACATTACTCCAATATACATTAAAGCCTCTAGTTCATAACAGCTATCCTGATACCCTGAGAAATAGTACAGAAACTGAAATAATTCTTTCTGGAATCTATGTTAGAAATAGAAGGGAATTCTATGAGATGGCTATTGAATTAGAGGCAGCAATTACTAAAATTCAGCAAAAATACATTTATAGTTATTTAATCATAAACACAATAATAATTGCTCATGCAAACAAATCAATTGCAACAGGAACAAATTCCCCAAATGGGAAATTACAATGCCAAGTGTTTTTTTTTTTAATTTCAATTAACTGAAATACACATTTGAACATACTACTAGACATTGATTGCTAATACCTCACAAAGCATTGTTAGGAGCTCCTCCTTTGCTGACAGAAGAAACTGATATGTTTGCCAGCCTTCCAGTTGAGTGTCCACATATGTAGCTCATGCCCACTTTCCTGTCCTCAGAAAAAGGTGGCCAAAGCTGGTGAGAGCTGTTTTATAACATTCCAGCAAAAAGACCCAGAAAAGTAGCTCTGCCTGGGTGACTCTATCTCATTTCTTTGACTTTGGGAGGGAACAGGTCCTAGTTCTATATAACGGGATTTGCCCTCTTAATATGGCAGTTTGAATGCCTCCTACTCTGCTACTGCTCTAAGCTTTTTTTTTCAGGTCAAAGCAGAACAGATACTCCCACAATAAGCCCGTGCATAGTTGGTGACCATGAGCCTCCTTTGACCATCAGAATGTTTCCTCTCCCAAAGGACCTACACCCTACAGTATGGAGAAAATGAATCTGGATGCCATTCCTTACCCCTATTTTAGAGAAAATATTATTCAACAGTGAATGCAAAAACAGGAAGACTTCACAATGAAATACAGAAAACATTAATTTGCCTTAGAAATCTATTTTAGTAAAGGCAGATGTAGGAAATGGCTTTATTAATTTACCAGTCCTGAACTTGGACCCGTCTGGAAATGAAACCAGGCTGGAACACCGATTGTATTTCTTCAACCTATAAATGTTTGTGCAAGAACATATTGGACAGCATGTGTAAATTACTAGTAACTAACTCTGTTTGAAGTCACCAAGGTGTGGAGAGAAATTTAAAAAATACATTGATTTAGTAATCACAGAAATAATTTCTCCAAAAAATATGTTTCTAAAACCATCACCATCCACATTTTAAATGGCACTGTATTCTTAATAAGCACTGAAATTTTAGTACTGTAGTTAAGGGGTACAGAATTGTCATATAAAGTCAAATGCTGACATACTTTGAACCATATTGAAGGTTTAATATTGCTGAACAATAGCATCTTTACTTCATCAGGTAGAACATTTTCTTTACATTTATTAACTACATTTCCATCTTGCTTTTCTTTCAGGGACTCAAAATCATTTAAATTTAGGCAAAAGGCTGTCACTGTCCCAAAGTAATTCAATGCTTCCCGGTCAGTGATTTAAATCAGAGTGTAACATTTAATTGGTTCTGATTTGATTTCATAAAGAATGTTTATTGCGACTTGTATTCAGATGTACAGTACATTCCAGAAGTTTACCACATATAATCAGTCAAGGATGTAAAGGAGTTTTCAATATTTTCTCAAATCTTAAACAGTTATTTATATCACTAGAATAACTCCTAACTTTATAACAAATGAAATGCGAAATCTGCATTGTTGAAGCCAATCAGTTATGCTAGTATATCTCAACCATATTTCAAGAATAAGCACTTAGGTAATAGCCTAGTAAAAAAAATAAATAAAAAAAAAGACTACCAGCATTTCACAAAAGAGTTGGCTATATTTGCCTTTTCAAACTGCCTTACCTCACAGCACCCAAATCTCCAGCTCCACACTGTAGTTCAGAATTCTTCAGGGGTGCTGTTATCTGAGGCACTCGTTTTCTGTCTGCGTTTCCCATGGCAATGTCTTCCCTATAAAGAATATGAAATATATATATATATATATATATATATATATATATATACATACATACATACATACATACATACATACATACACACACACACACACACACACACACACACACCACTCTATACTATATAGTATCTCACACTCCTACTAACT